CAAGAACCACATCTGGAACTTATTAGAGAGTTAGAGAGAGGAAGGGGTCAGTGGAAAGAGAAGAAGTAATGGTCGTGGTGAAGGCAAGTGGGGTATGTAGGGGGGACGGGCTGAAAAAAAAGAAGTACAGGAGGGGACTGAAAGAGCTAAAGAAAGCATGCTGGTAAGCAGGAAAATAATGATTTTGGGAGAGAATCAAAACACAAATAAAATGAACGGTGCTACCAAATAACAGTGATTAACCTGGAAGTTGATCAGCTTGGCTGGCACCACTGATTTGGGTTCAATCAGAGGCAAAAAATGTAGCCTTTGAACTGACCGCAAACATATTCTGTCTGAATGAGCAACTTTACTGTCTCCACTGAGCAAGCAGTCAGGCCTGAGTAATGGTCCCTTTCTCTCAGCCAATGGCCTCTGCAACACTCCTCTTTTGTACTCCCCTCTCTACTCTCTGCCATGGCTCCCTTTTTTTTCATCTACCAAAAACCCTCGCACACAACAATACTACCCTCCCGACCGGACTCCAATCCACTACCTCCAAAACAAACGACAAAAAAGTCTCCTTCAGCCACCTCCCCAGAACACTACCCCTCTTTGTCCTAATTCCTCATCAACTTCTTTAACAAATAACCTTTTTTAATGTAAACTACGCCCACCACTCTATCATCCCCAATATGGTCCACCACTCCCATTTAATTGTATTCACCTTGCATGCCCCCAGCCTGTCAAACACTATTAGATCCCTTTAAAGCCTGATCCAAGAAAAAATTGAGAGATTTTTATTTCGTTTGAAGTCTTTATCTGGTCCTTCAACAAAATATAAAATAAACAAATATTTTTTTATATTACTACGTTCTATAAGCGAAAAGGATTGTCGTGTAGCCTTCGACCTGCGGTTATCATGTATATCTGATTTTGTACAACGGGGTTTTAAGCAAACTTTTTACCATTAAATGTTAGTCCTTGTGTGTCTCTGTGTCACCCTGCGATGGACTGGCAGACCGTCCAGTGTGTATCCTGCCTTTCGCCCATTGACTTCTGGGATAGGCTCCAGTCTCCCCCCGACCCCATTAGGGAAAAAGTGGTAACAAAAATGGATGGATGGATGGATGGATGGATGGATGGATGGATGGATGGATG